CAGCCGCCTTTGTGTCTGTCATCCCTTCATTCCCCGGCATTCTGCCGTCTGTCCGTCACGTCCTGATCATGAGACTTCCCCACGATTGACTGACTGACTCCAACGCTCCGCACACTCCTTCAAGTGTCGCTTCCTTCATCATCACACACGGCCGCATCACCACAAGAAGTAAGCAACTTGGGGGGGCGGTGGATCACATCAGCCCTCAGCCCCCTCGCCGCGTCATATCGAGATTTGCCGGCTGCAACATGTCATGTCTCCTCTCCAAGCCGCTGCTGCCTTGTGCAGGCAGGCCTCTGTCATGCCGTCCCTTTAACTCCCCTCGTCCGCCCATTCGTCCGCCCTGACCCTCCAACATCCGCCCGGCAGCACACCCCTCGCTGTGTCAGCTCGTTCGTCATCACACACGCCATCACCACAAGCAGCTCGGCCACACTCAATGACATCGCAGCATCTCCATTCGGCTGTCCTTCTCCTCACCCCCCGCCCCCCCACTGTGCCGGTCCGTCGCGGATTCCTTCTCGAGGAGCCGCAGAATGGAACTCACGAGGGACCGACATGATGGGGACGCTGACGGGAGGTCGGCGGTGAAGTCGAGCTCGAGCGCCGTCTCGATGGCCGCCTGTGAGGCGTGTCGGCAGGTGCAGCAGCTGGAGTACGCTGCTGTGATCCGGGTCATAAAGGTGGCGATTACGGTGCTGCAAAACAAAGGCGAGGCAGCGAATTTTGAGACAGATTGTCTGTCATGTCTCGTGCCCCATCCGCCCACCCACCTCTTGACGTTGTTGTCTTGCTCCGGGGAAGCCTTCGAGGTCATGAAATCTTCAATGCACCCATCTAGGCGCACATCGTTGAATGTGACCCCTCGCGCCGCCTCACGGAGGCTGTCCCGGAACAGCGAATCTCTGTTGTATTCTTCGGGGGTCTTGTTGCGTGCCTTGGGGAGCGGCCGTGAGTCCTCCCGGGCTTTCGGCCTGCAAAAGGTAAGTAGAGGAACGAATCAGGGGGACAGTGCATCTGCCGCCTCTTCTACTGCTCGCGCGTACCTCTGAGTGTCGCGGTTGCCGTGGGAAGAAGAAGACGACGCAGGTGAGATACTTATCACTGCATCCATGGGCCTGAAGAAGGTAAGGAGTCAGACAAGCAGCTGAATAAAGAGGACTACGCATGGACTGTGTCTCATACTGGCCATGAGCCCACCTTTGGCGGTCGCCGTGTCCATGTGTGCTTGCCCTCTCCAATGAGGCTGGCGCTGTCTCGCCTCGAGAAACTTCTTGTCGCTTTCTCTTCGTCACAGCGCTCTGACGGCCTGCCAGTGGTCGGGTTACTGTCGCGGCCTGGGAGTACCCTCGGATGTACTCCTCCGTTGTTGTCTTGGACGCCTCTTCCCTTATGGCCTGTTTGATGAAGGCTGTCTCCGCCTCGCCCAGCGCCTCCAGGAACCAGCTGACGTCGTTCACGTTGGGAGCCTTGTAGATGGAAACCGACTCCTCGTCAATCGTCTGCAAAGGGGTGCTGGGGCGGGTGGATGTGGTCCGCCTTCTGCTGGGTGGACGGGTGGGGCGGATGATGGTCTTCTGAGTCTGTGCTGGCCGTGGAGGCGGCACGGGGTCCAGCCAGGAGCGGTTGAAGGGCATGAAGCCCTCTTCTTTGTGTCCCTTCTTCCCGAACAGGCGGCGGAGGATGCGGAGCGGACGGATCCCCCCGCGAGACTCAGTGCCGGCTGGCCGCACTGCCAGACGCTTCTTCAGGGAGAGCATCGCGCGGCTGGGGCTGTCTGGGGTGTGGAGACGGCTTCAGCGACAGGGGTGTGCAAAGGGGTGTGGGTGTGCGGAAATGAAGAGGGACAGGGGAGCTCTAGGCGAGAGAGCCAGAGAGATCTGGGAGCAATTAGATGCTGCACTGCTTGCAACGAGAACCGAAACACCTTTGAGACGCAGGGGGCATTGCATTGCATGCGGCCCCCACCTCTTTCTGGCCAGGAAGATCTTGATGTTCTCTCCGCCCCGGGACAAATGTCTGAGGATGACCTGAGATGAATTGATCTGTATTATAAGACTGTCACGGATGCGATCAGCGCATCCACGCAGAGAGTTCCATACATGAACATGAATGTGTGTGGATGCACACACGCCACTGTCCACCAATATATGTGTCCGTCCACCCTTTCCTCTCGGCGCATGGGAGCCGGGCCTCACTCACTCACTCATCCACCCACACAGACACCACCACACCGATAGATAGATGGGCATGCCTGTCTGTCTCTTTCTGTCTCTTTCTGTCTGTCTGTCGATATGTCTGAGGGCACTGGATCCGCAGTCACTTGTGTAAGGCCACTTTGAGCTCGGCGTAGGCCTGGTGTATTTTGGCGTTGAGCAGCTGCTGGCCCTCCAGCAGCTGCTGCTCGTCACGGTTGGCCTCGCGCAGCACGCCACACACGCGGTCCACACACTCAGCAACACGACCATCACTGCTGCACACACACATGATATTGGTCCCCCCTTTGCCCCTCACTTTGTGTGTCTCAGAAGGTACTTGTCTGTTGTGTTGTGTTGCTGGTGGTGTTTGAGGTTGTCGCAGCACTGGTCGTGCAGACTGACGGCGGATGTCGTGAGTGTCTGGAGGGCCAGCGCACGGCCCCGCAGCTGCACCAACAACCCAGACACCAACTCAGACATATCACACCTGCACACAGCACACAACAGAAATTCCCCTCATTCATCCGCCTTCGCGCGAGTGTCTCTCTCTATGTATGCAGCCGACCGTTCAGTGTCCTGTTGCGGCTGTGTGCGGGTGGGAGAGGAGTGGCAGCGGTCCTCTGACGTCATCTCGCCCACTGACAGCGAAGGCCAATGCGCGGCATACTGCTCTTCACTCATCGGCATCAGCCCTGTGTCCTTCCCCTCCTGCTGCTGCTGCTGCTGGCTGCCGGCGTCTCCCTCGTCGCCGTCGAGCACACTGGTGGCCACCGACACGGGCAGCGAGTCCGCATGGTTGTTGGGATCATGGGCACCAGCAGAGCTCTCACGAGACACGATCGTTGTGGCGTGCGATGAGCGGCGGAGCAGCTGGGGGGCCTCCCGCTGCTGCTGCTGCGGCTGCGACTGGTGCTGCTCATCGCTCGAGCATGAGTGTGTGGTGCAGCGGTGTGTCGGGGGGGATTTGGGGGCGGTGGGGAGGTCGGAGAGTGTTGTGAAGTGAGAGGGGATGATGCGGGCCCGGTCGATGAGCGAGACGGCCGTCGACCTGTTGTCCTTGCTGCTGCCGAACACCCACAAGAGCTGCGTGGGCGAACGGTCATACCTGCACAACATTACACCAACGCCCACAACAGAGATGGGTCATTTTCTGTGTGTGTGGGTGGTCTGTTTCTTACTTACTCCTTGAGTCTGATGATGATGGTCATGGTGCGCTTTGCGATGTCGGCAACGATGTCCAGGTTGCAGTACCCAACGAACTCGTGACGCGTCATGTCCTCACTGCCACACACCACACACCACACACATACAGAGAAGACACATGTCTCGCTGTGCACCACTGTTGTGCCTATGTGCCTACCGTCCGTCGAGAGTGAATCCGCGTTCCTTGAGTGCCCTTGCAAAGGGTCGCGGCTGTCTGATCTTAATCATGGTGTGGACGATGGCCAGGTCGATGTAGTCCTTGCCCAGCCTCCGCTCCTCTCGAGTGCCGAGGATGTAACACGCACGACGACCGATGTGGTTGACAACCGCATTCGACGCCTGCATGGCATGGATGACACATACACAGACAGACAGACAGACAGAGGGTGGGCGTGGTGCGGTGTAGGGTGTTGTGGTGTGGTGTGATGTGTTGCCGGCGGTGTTCGATACGGACGCAATGGACGGCGTTGAGCATGGGCACGGCGCATGCCATGGCGTTCTCGTCCTCCAACACATACTGATGAACACACACACACACGCAGAGCATATGGATGGTGGCGACGGGTTGGCGGGCGGGTCTATCCACCTTGTCGACAGCGAATCCGGCGGTCTTGTGGAAGCGACTCTCGAACACCTGCGCATCGGGGTAGAAACCTCCACACACCACACACAGGTAGAGAGACATGGAAGCAGACGCATGTGTCATGGACCCCCTCCACCTCCCACCCACTGACCAGGCACGCACTTCTCGACTGCTCCCATGACATAGATCTCAGCACCCAAACGACCACGCCTGCATCACACACACACAGCGCATACCGATATGTGTGTGTCTGTCCGTGCGCTTCCTCTCCCGCTGCCTCTATGGATGTGTGTGTACTTCTGTCCGAGAATTGCGATGGTGGTGTTGCGTGTGGTGTCTGCCTTGTCGGTGTTGGTGGGTGCCTCGGGCATGCCCTCCAGCCGACGGCCCACCACCAAAGGCTGCGACGGGTCGTACTTGGACAAACTCCTGCACACACCAAACATGCACACACACACACGTGGGTCGGACAGGCCATCCATGTGGAGAAACTTACGCGAACTGCATGAAGACGTCCCAGTATTCCTCCACCTTGTGCATCGTCTGCATGACCACACGCCACACAGATAAACACAAACACAAACACAAACACTGCTGTGTTGCTCGTTCTCTTCCCCAGGTGTCCTTCTGTGTGTGTCATTGTGCGTACCGATCTGTATTTGCCGACGATGTAGGACACGGCGTCGAGCGGCACCACCACAAGCGACAGATCCGTGCGGCCCTTCACCTGCAACCACACACACACACACACACATATCACACACATCACATCACACACCATACCCCCCACACATCTCCCCTCCCCTCCCCGCTGTGTTTGCCTTGGTGTAGTTCATGGGTATCTCCCGAGCGACATCGGAACCCTTGGCCATCGGCGCGCCGACGGTCGCCAGGAGGACCTTCATGTAGAAGATGGCCTTGTCACGCTGCTCTTGCGTCCCAAACACAGACACACCTGCGCCATGCACCATGCACCGTGCAAACCGTGCAAACAGTGCAATGGAGCGACCATCTGCAGACAAACCCGTCCGTTTGCTGACCTTTTTTGCGCCTCTCCTGCATCATGGTGATGCCCGCTCCGCTGAGTCGCGCCAGTTTGGCCTTGGTGGCTCCCGCGCGGCCGTAGAGAACAGCGTAGTGCTCGTCATTGCTGACCCGCCAGACCAACAGGGCCACACAGACGGCAGGAATGAGAGATCCATCCGACATGAGAGTCCTCCTCGCTCACCTCAGGTCGAACGACTGCCCGGCGCGGTCAGACTGCTCGGGCTCACACGCCATCGTGCAGAAACGGTCTCAAAGCGAGCAAAAAAATGGGAGGATGGATGGATGGAGGCGAACGACCTTCACGGTTTTTCGACGATCGGTTGAAATGTAAATTACATCCAGTTTGACGTTTTCATTTCAGCTCTACCTCTAAAGCCGAGAAGGCACAGACACGACGCTGCGAAGATCCGGGCAAGGCCACGATGATGGACCCAGTGCCTGTTCCGATGGTGCAAGGAACTTTGCCGACGAGCACTTACGGCGTGCCTGTCAGCCCGCCCGCTGAGGACTTCGCTCCGCTGCTCAAGACGTATGAGATCAGGAAGACTCCCCTCTTCACGGTGACTGCACACACACACACAGATGGCGAGAGGTTGACACACAGACACAGAACAGACAGACAGAGAGACAGGAGGCAAGCAAACAGGCAGACACACAGACAGGCAGAGGCAGACAGGAAAAGGACTGGACGGTTTTGGTTGTCGATGGTTGCTTGCAGATATCCTTCGGTGCGGTGATTGGCCTGTTGGTCTTCATGCTCATCATCACATCGCTGCCAGGAGCGTCTTATGCCCCCAGCACATTCGTCATCTGGATGATCGCGTGAGTGACAGACAATAGGACTGCAAGACAAAAGCCAACGGGTACCCTTGTGTGTGTGTGTGTGTGCAGGTTGGTAGCCTGTATGATTGTGATATTTATGCAGATCCCCAAGAAGGTCGAACGCACTCCTGTGGGCTTCCTGATGCGCACGTGGATGTGCAACAACTCTCTGCGGTTCAGCGATGTGACAGACATTGTGCAAGTGGGCTTCTGTCGGCCGCACTGCTATTTCGGCCGTGCGGCCGGCACCCTTACCGACATGATGGACGGTGTGCTCGTCAAGACCGACTTCTGCAAGACGGCACTGATGTTCTCGCCGGCATGCGGCTCCGAGCAATTCATTGCCGAGAACCGCCCGTACATCCCGGCAATGGGCGGCCATCTTGGCGGGAACGCCCTTTCGGTGGTGGCCTATCAGCCGCAGTCACTGCCGCCACCCACATACCAGGCGGCACAGGCCACAGCCAACCCGTTTGCCGACAACGACGCCCCGGCGCCCTCGTACGCGATAGACACCAAGAATGGGGTGGAGATGCAGCCTGTCGGCACTGGGGCGGCCGCCGGTGGTGGCGGTGGGGGAGGCAAGCAGCTGGCTGCGGATAACCCTATCCAGAGGGTGTGATGCATTTTGTGTCGTGAGAGGCAGGCGGAGTGTTTGGTTCGGTTAATACAGTATCGGGGCTGGCGAGGGTGCGTGGGTTGGTATCTTTCTCGTGCTGGCTGGCTGGCTGAGCGAGGCGACGAGCGAGCGGTGTTGTGTAATTACACGTAACGTATTTGCCAAGTGTGCACATACAGCAGCCAGCCCAGACAATTAAGCTACCTACACGTATTTGTCATACTGTGATTTTTGTCTGCGTCGATGGATGAGGATTGGAGTCGTGTCGCGGCCTGAATACTATGTTGTGTGTCGTTGTCTGTGTGGACCTGCGTACACGAATTCAGTCATCGCACATGAATCGTTGATTTTCTCATGACACACAAGCCACCTTGTGTTTGGTTCGGTCAGCCAGTCAGTCGATGTGTCATATTATCAAGAGGCGGATTCAAAAATGAGCTATCGAGCGAGAAACCTTCCCTCACACACACATCACCCAGGAAGGGAAAGTAGTGAGAGCAAGTCCACCCGCACCACGCCACACACAGCAGCCAGCAAGAAAACCTCAAGTCAGGCGGTCGGTCGGATGCGCGGACACACACGGACATACCTCAAGTGGGTGGGTGGGTTATAGTGTACAGGTAGAGAGAACCTTGCGAGTGAGCAGACAGAGAGAGGGAGGGAGAGCGGGTGGTGGGAGTGGCGGCACCTGCGCTTGAAAACACGTCACGCGTCGGTCGGTCATGCAGCCATGGCTCCTCAGGAGCACAAAAGCAAAGGGCTGGCTACCTGCCATCCACTCCACTCTCACACGTGCACGTCCTCACGTACTACACGACATTTCGCACGGAAGCACACCCACGCTACCACATCCACCCACCCACCCACCCCCATGACATGCCATGCACCCTCGTTGTGATGGTACGTACGTACGGTCGGCGATTCTCGGCCCATCGTGGAACACCTAGGCACGCTCGCCACGGATGCGACGAGCGAGCTGCACACACAACATACACCAGAGGAGGCTGTGTGTGTGTGTGTGTGTTGTGTGTGGTTGTTTGTCGTGTGCGCGTGTCGCACCTGGATGTCCTTGGGCATGATGGTGACGCGCTTAGCGTGGATGGCGCACAGGCTGCACAACACACACACACACACACGGCATCACATAGGAGAGGTTCGCGCACACATCCAACGTGTGTTGCGTGTGTGGACCGCACTTGGTGTCTTCGAACAGTCCGACGAGGTAGGCCTCTGAGGCCTCCTGGAGAGCCAGCACGGCCTGGGACTGGAAGCGCAGGTCGGTCTTGAAGTCCTGGGCAATCTCACGCACCAAACGCTGGAACGGCAACTTGCGGATCAGCAACTCGGTGCTCTTCTGGTACTTGCGGATCTCACGCAACGCTGAACCACAGTCAACACACACGACACACACACCACAGTGACGCCCGCTCAGCCCGTGTGTGTCGTCGTGTCATGTCTCCGCGCGGTTGGCTCACCGACAGTCCCCGGGCGGTAGCGGTGAGGCTTCTTGACACCACCAGCGACGGGAGCCGACTTGCGAGCAGCCTGCACACACACGCACACAGCCAACACACAACAGCATCCACGTCGCGTCAGGCGAGTGCCTCGCCACCACAAGAGCGGCACCCACACAAACACTTGCTGGTTTCCAGAGGTGGAGGTGAGGGAGGGCGTCATCCTCACCTTGGTGGCGAGCTGCTTGCGAGGCGCCTTCCCGCCGGTGCTCTTACGGGCAGTCTGTTGCACAACAGACACACACACCAAACGATTCGCCGTGCGTCTCGGTCTCGTGTGTGCAGAGCGGCTGATGTACCTGCTTGGTGCGGGCCATTTCTCAACACGCCGAGAACAATTCAAAGCAACACTTGACAGTCTTCGCGCCGCTCGTCACAATCTGAGAAATGCGAGCTTGGTAAGCTAAGCTCGCATTTTTGCTGGCCTCTCGAAACTCTGGCATTCTTTGAGGAGATTCGGAGGCCGCTGACACCGTCTTGTCTCCATGGACGAAGGTGTTTCTTCTGACTCTGAAATGGTTGCTTCCGAGGAGCCCCATCTGCTCATCGAGTGGGTGAATTCTTTTGACTTTGCGGCCAGCAGCCCCGTGGTGTCGGTCGAGGACTTCAGCGACGGGCAGGTGTTCGCCAAGATGCTGGGCGAGATTGACCCGGGGGAGTTCCAGGACCTGTGCCAAGCCATGAAGATGTTCGAGCGACGGGGGAGCCTCGGCCAGCGGCTGATGACGCCCCGGGACAAGCTGGTGGGTGAGAGCCAAAAGAGGGACGGCGTGGCCAAGGTGGAGGCTGTCTTGAGGGATTTCTCGCTGAAGCTGGGGCGGTGGGAGATGCCCACCGTGTCTGTGGATCAGGTGGCTGCGGGGTATTTCGGTGAGGTTCTTACAGTCCTAGAGATCATTGTGGCCGTCATGCTAGGTCAGTCAGGCACCACGCCCACATGAGAGACGGAAGGAGAGACAGAGACGGCAGAGCACATGAGTGGAATGGATGAATGGAGATCTTTCTTATCTGACTGTGTCAGGTTGTGATCGCAAGGACGCCTTCATCAATCGCATCATGGGTCTGTCTCAGCCGACTCAGCTGGCCATGCAGACCATCATTCAGCGGGCCATGGAGAGGGGCGCGGGGGCGCCACAGAGAGGGCGGGCACACACAATCATGACACCTTCATCCAAAGACGGTTCCCCGTATGGTCTCTTGGCCACCAGCCAAGGCGTGCACCACGTCAGCACAGCAGACACAGTGTGAGCACTTTGGTATCCCATTCTCTCTATGTGTGTGTGGGGTTCAGGTAAAGTTGCTGAAGGATCTGCAGAGGGACTACGATCAGCTCAAGTCACGTTACGACGGTTTGTGGGACAAGTTTCGTGAGATGGAGAGCGAGAAGGACGGCCTCATGCAGAAGAACCAGTCGCTTACGAAGATGCTCGAGGAGGAGTGGCAGAGACGGAAGTCGTCCGAGGACTTTGTCCATGCTTCCAAGTCTGAGATGCAGGTATGTCTTCGGCGGATGTCGTCTCATCAGGGTGACCTTGTTGCGTGTGTGTGCAGAAGGAGGTGTCAGAACAGCGTCAGGCGCTCGAGAGCACCATCCATGAGCTGGAGGAGACAATCGAGGTCAGTCTGACAAAACGACCAGAGCCCACGAATGCATGTGTTATGCGTGTCTCACCCTCCCCTGTCTGCTTCTGAGCAGTCGCTTCGGAGGCAGCAGAGGGAAGCCGAGCAGAAACACAAAGAGGAGATGCAAACGTACACACACTCCTTTCCTGAATCACCACACACGTGTGAAGTGCATCGATGTCGTTTCACGTGTCTCTCTTCCTGACAGCATGGCTGATGAGGTGGACGTCTTGAAGGCCCAGGCGTCGCAGGCGCAAGTGCTGCAGGCACAGATACAGAGATACAAGGTAAGAATGGATACATGTGTAGACACAAACACCATGTACATGTGTCCATCCATTCACCAGGGCAAAATGGAGGAGCTGGGGGAAGAAAAGAGGCGCAATCGGGAGCTAGAGGCACAGACTCAGGTGTGTAGGTATCAAATTCAGCTCGGTGTGTGCACTCTCGCATATCTGTTCTGCCCTATTGTCTGCTCCTCTGCAGGAGCTGAGTGAGCAGTTGGAGGAGAAGGACAAGGAGTTGCGCACCATGGCTGCCCTCAAGAAGACCCTGGAGCAGTACAAGGACAAGTGTGCCGACCAGGAGAGCGATCTGTCCGCCGGCCGCATCGAGCTCGTCGAGTGCAAGGCCGAAAACGACTCGCTCAAACAGCAGATCAAGGACATGGACCGCGATTGGTGAGGGAGCCTGGGAGGCAGGGATTTAGGCAGCTTTTGGTGCTGTGTCTCATGCATGTGCGTATGTGTGTGTGTGCAGGAAGAACAAGGACACTGAGCTGCAGAATGTGACGGCTCAGCTGGCCCTCCAGACAGAGCTGGCCAACTCACCGCTGGGCGCCACTAGCGATGCAAGTAGGCAGACAGACAGACCGACCTTTGTGTGCGCATTCTGTCATCCTATAGTGGTGGTTGCTGACTGATATCTGCATGCCTTTGCACAGGTCCTTCGGCAGCTTCGACAATGGAGGTGGTTGAGTTGCAGCAGCGGATAGCCAAACTCGAAAAGGAAAACACCGCACTCAAGGAATCCGTCGGCAACGAGGACCTCGCTGACAGGCTCACCAAGGTCAGCCAGCAAGCCAGACAGGAAGCTATGCAACCAGGCTCGCAGCCCACATTCAGTGTGTGTGTTTGTTGGTTGGATGGCTCATGCAGCTTGAGAACGATTTGGATGATGCGTTGCGTCTGAAGGATCGGTACGAGAAGAACTACCAGGCGGCCACGGCCCGCACACAGATGCTGCAGCGGCAGGTGCAGACACTAGAGGCACAGCTGCTCGACATTCACGGTCAGCAGGCCAACCAACCATCGCACAGACACACACGTCTTGCAGTCGTCTCTGGCTCTCGCAGTGTCGTGCGTTTATGGGGCATGTCAGGCACTGAGGCGACCCAGAGCGGTTTGCTGCTGAGCCAGATGAACGACCTTGAGAAGGAAAATGAACGACTAAGGGTACGCAGGAATGGGTGACCACGGACAAAAATACTGCTCGTTTCTCACAGGGTGTTGAGTCTGAGCACCGGTCGCTCAAGGAGCGCTTTGACGCCGAGCAGCAGCAGATGAAACTCCTCTACTCGGTATGCATCCGCACATGCACGAACCGAGCGATGTCCATGTGTGTGTCTATGGCTGGATGCGCTTTCGACGTACAGAGCAAGGACGAGCTGCACCAGAAGCTGATGGAGGCCAAAGAGAAGTCCCTCGAGACACAAACACAGGCACCAAGGGAGACACCAGCAAGATAAACGTGTCATGCCCTCCTTTCTGTGCCGTCTTCGTCTCAGATTGTGACTCTCCAGAACCAGATAGCTGTGCAGAGCGAGGAGATGAAGCGATTAAAGGTGCCTGCCCGACAACGGATCGCACGTTTGTACTATCCATTTATTGTGGGTGCTGTCGATGCAGTCCGAGAAGGACGCCTTGTTGGAGTCGTCAGCTCGCGGCGACGCGACGGCGAATGAGACGGTGAAGCTGCTGCAGGTGCAGAAGGAGAAGGACGAGCTCATACTACAGAGCAAAATCGACGCACTCAACTCACAGCTCAAGGTGCGTGTATACCTGTGGCCGGTACAGCTGTTCGTGTGTGTGACGACCATCCATCCATCCAGGCCTTGGAAGGTCAGCTGGAGGGTGAGCGCAGGGCGTCCAAGGTACATGAAGATGACCTCAGAGGCCAACTCGAAAAGGAATACCACCAAGTTCGTACCAACCACACACACACTCAGACCCCAATGCCCGCATTACCTATTTCGTCCGCATGCCTATCTGTGTCAGGTGGTGGAGACCTTGAGGGAGCAGGTGCAGCTGAGAGAGAAGCAGGTCGAGTTCTACAAACAGGACCGGTACGCCAAAGACAATTGATGTCATTCATTCATTCACCTGTGTGTGTGTGCGTGTGTGTGTGTGGATGGACGGTCGATCGATCGACCAGTGAGGAGCAGCTGACGAGCCAGCTTCGCGAGAAGCAGGTCATGGTGTCGGCCTTCTACGACCTCGGACTCAGATCACTGCAGGTGAGCGGGCGGATGCACACGGGGAGCCATGGACACAGCCATGCTCTCGGCAGCTCAAGTGTGAGAACGAGGCTGTTCGGAACGAGCCCCACGGCAGAGCCAAGTATGCCATCACAGACCGACACGAATGATGAACACACAGGCAAATGTTCCTGCATGCGATGTCTGTGTGTGTGCGCAGGAAGGTCCCCCGCGCGCCTTCTTCATACAGCAGTTCCTCCAGCCCACACAACGCCGGCAACAGCTCACTGAGCCCATCGCCCATGGCACAGCTGCCACGCAACAGCATCGCAGGCCCCTCGCCTTTCCCCTCCCTGCCCTTGGCCAAGCCCACACCCGATGCCGCGACAAGACCGGCAGATGATGCGTGAAGAGGGATAGGTTGGCTGTTGTGTTGGCGAATGAGGTCTGGGATGGGGCACGTGTCGTTTTGTCTCTGAACCATCTTTTGCCGCACTTACGAGACACAGAAGGCATGCAGTTGATGGGACTTTATTGACGTGTCTAACTAGTCGTGTGTCCGCGGACATCCAGAAGGGCATGTCTCACCCATACCCAACACCGCCGGCACTTGAATAGAACGACGTCATCAAATGCACCATTGTTCCCGCCAGCTAGCGATCTGAAGAGGCGATTTGGCATGGAGGCGCGGGAGACACGCCCCCCGCGACTGGGTCGTAACACGAATCAATGACTCGAATCAATGTACATTCAATCTATCTGTGAGGGTTTGCTGTCTGAGTGACTGAAAGCAATCTCAATGAAATATCGATCAGAGTCCATGGAGACATGTTTATACGGGCACTCACTTTCTTCAAAATATAGAATGTAGGCAACGATCACAAACCGCCGCCACCTGACACACACACACACACACACACATCCATCCATCCATCCGTCCATGTGTGTGCATACGTATGGACGGACCCACATTAATGTTAATGTGACCTACCTGATTGGATCCGCCTGTGTTTGTCGTATGTCAAGAGGCCGCGAATGAGATCCTGTGCGGCGTCGGGCACGCCATCGCTCGCAGTGAACCGGACCCCCTGTGCAGCAAAAAACAGACGCACACGGCACGGCACGGCACCCACACGAAGAAAGCCATACAGACGATAGATACATTCCCCGATTGATTCATTTGCAAGGAAGGGCCTGGCCTGTGTGTAGGGACCCTTGTCAGTCAGTCAGCCCTTTCGCCCTCCCCCCACCCACGCACCCGTCGCATGGCTTTGAGTGCATTCCGGACGCTCTGCGGCCGCCGATCCAGGCAAAAGAAGGGCATCCGGCCCGTAACCAGCTCGAAGCTGACGCACACACACCACACACCACACACCCATGCATGTGCGTGCATGTGCGCGTGTGTGTGTGTGTGTGTGTGTGGCGTGGTGTGCAGGTCACTTACATGCACACGCCCATTGCCCATAGGTCGCTGGCAGGCCCGTAGTCACACGACTCAAACACTTCCGGCGCCTGAAGCACACACACACACACACATATGCAATCCACAGCCTCCGCTCTAACTGACTGACTGATTGACTGACTGACTGACCGTATAGTTGAGAGTGCCCCAGACGTTTGTGTGTCTGTCCAGGCCCGGGACCAGGGCCGTGTCGAAGTCGACCAACACGGCGCGAGATCGCTGCGGCATCAGATTGCGGAGGGACACGTCACAGTGCGTCACCTGCAGGCAGGCAGGCAGGCAGGCAGACAGAGGGCCACGATGATATGATAAGGAAGATACCTACTGACATGGATCTGCGTAGGTCTGTCTGTCTGTGTGTCTGTCTGTGTGTCTGTCTGTGTGTGTGTGCGTACGTTGTGTGTGTGTAGGGTCCGGAGGCCTTTGAGGGCCTGTTGGGCGGTGTGGCGTGCCGTGTCGTTGTCCACGGGCAGGGGGCCCATGGCGGCCTCAGAGTTGCCCTCGCCCAGCCACTCCATGACTATGTAGAAGTGGCCGTCGTCCATGGAGATCGACTTGGTCCTACACAAACTCCCGCGCATCCCGAGGTCGGGTAGTTGAATATGTGTAGTCCGTCCGCCACACGCAACAGGTAAGACAGAGAGATGCAAATCACTCACCGCCCTGGCGTCCCGTACCTTTCTCGTCCGCTCTGCTCCAGTGTTGGCTGAGGGTGCCCCTAAGCTGATAGAGACGTTCGAACTGGCAGCGGATGTTGATTTCGATGCCGGCGACGTGGGTGAGGTTGGGGCAGCGGCCGAGGGCACCGAGGAAGTTCGCCCACTGGTCATCGTCGAGTTCGATGCAGTCGGCCTGCAGCCGCTCGATCTTGGGCGATTCGCGGAGCAGACGCACCAAGGAAGCGGCATCCATACTGATGATGCAGCCGACTCGGAGTGTGGTGATTGCCGGGAACATCCATCGACGAGCACTGCAGACAGTCAGACGTCGACCCATGACAAGAATGACTGCGCGGTCGCGTCATCTCTGACTCCTCTCGTTATATACCTGATGTAGTCACGACCTGCTGGGCTACGGACGTCCACGTGTGTGACTTTGGAGAACACGATGGGCCCGGCATCCGATGTCCGTGAGCAGTAGTTGATGTGCAGGGTAATCTTCTTGAGTGAGTCCTTGTTCGCCTCCAGCAGCTCCGACACCACAGGCGGGACCTCTTTGGCTGTGGCCTGCACAAAGGCCGTCTGCATCTTGCCCTGCACACACACACACACACACACACAGATCGACAGCTATTGGATCGACAGAGCGCTGCGTACACATGTTCCCGTGTGAGGCCTCTTACCTCTATGTGCGGCACCTTCTTGACTATGCAGGCATCATCTGTCACAGAGACGTCCACGAACCTGCCGAACAGGCCAAAAGTCGTCTCGACCTGGCTGACCACGTCAGCCAAACGATTCTCCACTCTCATCTGACCACGTGCTGCAGCGTCTTGATCTTGTCGTAGGCGGGGTACCTAATAGACGGACGGATGGCACACACACATAGACAGACAGAGAGAGAGAGAGATAGACAGAGGTCATCCATCCACATGAGAACAGCGTAAGTGAGTGTGTGCACACCGAGTGAGTCACTCACCAGAATATCTCACGTGGGAGGGCCTTGAGCGCCCTATACCTGTTCCTCAGCCAGGTATTTGCTACGCGAAACACCGAGCCATTGCTGCACACACACAGACGCACACAGAGAGAGAGAGAGACGAGACGAGAATGATGCAAACATGCACACGCGAATGTATGCAAGAGAGAAGCTCCATCCATCCCCTCATCTCATTCGGTAGCTCACCCGCCCTCGCCAGCATTGTTGACGTATCTGAATCCCGCGCCAGCCAACATGTCGTCGAAATCCTCGTAACTCTGCGCATGGATTTGGGAGGCAAGGCACGTGATGCAATGCATGCATCCCAAATCCATCCATCCGATGGATGGCATATATTCACCTCTATTTGGTAGTATAACGACGCCTCGCCCTCACCCACGCCATTATCATGGTGCGGCGGCCCTCCCGCGACCTCGCCGACCCCGTCTGTCCCATCCCAGCTCCCATCGCCCTCGGAGGCGCCCATGAAGCCCACTCGTGAAGTCGGCAGTGCAACTCGTTCGCAAGACAGATCTCTGGGCTTTTTCTCGGCGTTGACTCTGACCTCCACGCAGAGAATGACGCTCGACAAAGCTGCTTTGTCGAAAATTGCAGAGAGGGGGTATGCATGCACCCTGTTGGCAGGCAGGCAGGCAGGCAGTGGGGTGTCCCCACACACACAACGGGATTCAATGCATCGCCCTCAGTGCCCGTACGCACGTACGTACCTTGCGGAGGGTTGTCCTCCCAAAGGCCCTGCCAACCAACTGACTGCCTGCACGAAACGCAACACAACACAACAATGATGGATGGATGGATGGATGACACACAGCGCCATCTCTCTCTTGATGCCTTTCGCCTGTGTAGTCGCTCGCTCGCTCACGAATGTGCGCCGTGGCGATCCGCTGACTGAACTCTTGCAGGGGCCGTGGAGGAAGATTGACTCGCTGGCCATCACGCGGCTGATGTCCTTGATCTCTCCGTCAATCTCACGGCATCGTAACAGCACCTTCACGAAGTGGCCCTTGTGACCTCGCAACTCACCTGGATGCACCAGAGAAACAAACACAGATACCCTCAAACACATACACTCTCACAGAGGCGGCTCAAATGCGTCCGTGTGCCCTTTGTGTTACTGACTCTCGATGACGGACTTGGCCAACAAAAAGGGTTCCCCCTTGGACCTTGCAACACGTGTGCGTGAGTCTCTGTCTGTCTGTCTGTCTCTGTGTGTGTGTGTTCGTGGATGCGGTCCCATTGATTTTGGGGGCGTTGCGGGCCGCCTGCCGGTGGTAGGGCGGGGTAGTGGGGCGCTGCGGGCGAGGCCCCGGCGACTGGTACACACGGCCGAGGCGATGGGCAGCCCCCCACCTGAATCACGGCAGAGCACCCATCGTTGGTTTGTCCGACGTCATGACTTGTGCCGTGTTCAAATTACATACCCGTGTGAAGTGTGTCGATGCGGTGCGAGTACGCCTCACGGTTGATCTCCACTCCCTCGAGGTCCCCTGCCTGGTCGTGAGCGGAAGGCCGCCACAGGTCGGTGAGCTGAAGGCACACACGGGTAAACGATTCATATAGGCACTCGTTGGTGTGCAGAGCACCCTTTCCTTTTTCCGTTATATGTACCGCGTGTTGGTTGACTTGTAGGCTCGCCAGGAGGCTCGCCACTTGAGCGCCCTCCGTCCCACCAGCAACTGTTGTGGCTCCCGATGCACCTACAAAAAAGACAGACAGACAGACAGCCAGACAGACAGAGAAAGAGAGAGGCACGCACAATCGGCCACAGTCAGGAATCCTTCCGTGCACACGTATGTATCGTATCGATAGGTCTGACTGACCTTGGAGCATTCCTGACTGACGATGTTGCCGGGGGTCCTGAGCTGCCATCGGTCAGTTGGTCCTCAGGCACCACAAAGAGGGGGCTGTGTGGGGATCCGCCTGAAAAAAGGCAACACAGACAGACGCTGTGTCAGTCACGTCACCTCGCTGGTGCAGGTCGCGCGATCTGAAGTGGCGGTTGTTGTAGTGATAAGCAGACGACGACGACGACGACTGCACCGACACGACTGCAGACGACACGACACGTGAAGGATAACAACAGGTCATTTCTGCCTCCCATCTTGCCTGCCTGGCTGCACGAGGCTGGCATATACCTTATGTACCTGACTTGCCGAGAAGGGCGCCGCCTTGGCCCCGTAGCCCGTCACGGCTCCTGACCATCCGCCTGCATCAGACATACATTAACGACAAAAAGGGTTCACCCGGCGTTGTGCGTGTGGACGTGGGGTGCACCCTGCCCACGACCCGGTTTTGCCCGGTGCCACCCACCCTGTTGGCAGACGTGTGGGGGGATACACACAACGGGATTCATCGCCCTTTGAGTGCCCGTACGTGTATCTACCTTGCAGAGGCTCGTCCTCCAACAAGCCTTGCCCACCCGACTGATTACCTGCAAGAAGCACAACGATCCGCTGGCTGAACTCTGGCGCATGCTGCTGCCTTCCTGTTCCAGAAGGTCCATTGAGAGAATGCCCTTGTCTTCGAGATGCTCGACCAGCCACAACTGATCATCACACATACACACACAGGGAATGAGAGGTAGAGAGAGGGGCTTCAAATGAGTCCGTGTGTGTATCCGGCCGCCTCCTCGGTCAGCCGACATGGCGTTGAATGCGTTCAGTGCTCCTCTGCGCCTGAGATAACGCGACCCCAGCTCCGTTGAGTGTCGTCGAATGTAGCCGCGGAATAGTCTTGTTGATCCCTCTACCCCGAGCTGCCCGCACAGCCAATCGACCATCTCAGGAGCGCCCTGATCATGACCCATCGTGATGGCAAGGGGTGTCATGCCCAGTGCGTCCAAGACATCGATTTGCGCGTCGTGCGCTTTTCCAGACGGAGGATAGGGGAAAAAACATTCATAGAAAACATTCATCTCTCCGTGGAGTCTCTGTCCCGCGCGATTTCTCGCCGGTAGGGGTTTCAGGGTTTGAAACCCCAAACCTTCCTCCGTCCGCATGTAATCACGTCCGGCCGTAGTGCACTCGCCAGCAATGCCGGTCATATTACCCGGCTCTGTTGCCCCGCCCAACGCCCCGGAGGACGCCAGTAGTTTGAGCGGCCGTGCAATTCGCAGTGAGTGCAAGGCATCCGAGGCCCCCGAGGACATCAGCAATGCCATCACACTCGAAGTACGCACACGCAGACGCACAGGCACACACACAGGCAGGCAGGCAGGCAGGCAGGCAGTCGAGAGGAGGCTTGGCGCCCCGCCCTCAGTGGCTGCAGCACCCGAGAGGGCTGCATGCATGTGTGTGTGTGCGTGCGTGCGTGTGTGTGTGTGTCGGTGAGTGCAGGAGTTTGATTCGTTTGGCCATGTGCTGGCGGCTGAGCGGTTCAGGGTCCTCGGCGAGGCCGGACGCGGCAGGTACATACATTCACAGAGACACAGACAGACAGACAGACAGACATATGCATATGGGCATCCGTATTCGGTCTGCACGCCACCCACTCCACGCCACCCCACTCACCCAGCCATCTCTCTCTCTCTGTGTGTGTGTGGCACTGTGTGTGCAGCAACGGTTGGGTATACCATTTGTCCCTTTCGCTGATTGAGGACCCCTCGTATGCGGTCAAGGCCATCCCCAGGAGCCTCTTCAGGTAGGTCAACCCACTCACTCACTCACTGCCCACATCCATCCAGTGTGTATGTATTTTGGTTGGCATGGCACCGCCGCACCACACAAGGCAGGCAGGCAGGCAGGCAGGCAGGTGTGCATGCGATGGATGCAATGCGGTGCGGTGCGGCCTGCCCTGTACGTAGTCCGTCTCTGGTGTACGTATTTATTGTGTATTGTGTGTCCAGGTTGGAGACGTCCATGTGCAGCGAGTGTGAGTTTGTGTCCAAGTACCAGCGGCTGATAGACCTGGGTATCCTGCGCGGCACTCTGTGTCGGACCAGGTCGATCCGCATGGACAAGGAGTTCTTCTACATCTTCATGGAGTTCATCGGCGGGGGGCACTGCGAGACGGGCCTCGGCGACCTCCCCGTCAACCACGACCTCGCACGCCACATCGCCCAAGGCGCGCTCAAGGGCCTGCAGAAACTCCACTCACACAACGTACATATGTGTATACGCACACACGCACACACGCACGAGCCAACCTACCATTGTCGGACTGACGGATGGATGGATGGATGGCGACCTGCCTGCCTGTCTGTCTGTCTGTCTGTCTGTCTGATTGCCTTGCATGGTTGCCTGATTGGCCGCCCGCCCGTTGGTTGCATTGCAGATCACTCACTGTGATGTGTCGCTCCGTAACATCATGACGGAGCGCAAGCGGGTCATCCTTGTCGACTTCGACACGGCCCTCCTGCCGGGCACCGGCCGACACACAGACATCTGGGGAGCCCTCAACTACACAGTAAGCAAGCAAGCAGGAGGGAACAGACAGACAGACAAGGCAGCCAGCCAGGCAGGCAGTGGATGGACGGATGGATGGCTACATTTGTTGGTTGGCTGATTCGCTTGTTGGTTCATTTGTTTGTCGGCTCTTTGCGTCTGCTTCATTCATTCAGGCGCCCGAGGTGCTGGAGTCGTGTGACTACGGACCGGCCAGCGACCTCTGGGCCATGGGCGTCTGCCTGTAAGTAACTTAAACAACACAACACCCCCAACACACACACACGCACGCACATACACATTCCCTTCCGTTCCGCTGCATTGCCTGCGTTGATAGCCCCTGTGTGTGTGTATGTCAGGTATGCGTTGCTGACGGGGCGGCTGCCCTTCTTCTGTGTTGATCGGCGGCCTCACAATGTCCGCAATGCCCTCAACGCAATGAGACGGGTGAGCATGTGGGTGGGTGGGAGTCAAAGCATCAAGCAATCCGTCCATCACTCCTTGTTTGTCTGTTGTGTGTGGGCTCACTCGTTTGTCCGTTCGTTCGTTCAGGGGGTTCGGTTCAAGGGTTATGATAATGTGCCCGAGGCCGCCAAGGACCTCATCCGCGGCCTCCTGACGTTCGACAAACACAAACGCACCGCATCCGGTCAGTCAGTCAGTCAGGCAGCCAGGCAGTCAGGCAGGCAGCCAGCGAGTTAGTGAGAGAGTGAGCATCTGTCCATCCATCCATCAATCCATCGACCAATCGATCGATTCGCTCATGTGTGTATCTCTCGTCTGTCTGTCTGTCTGTCTGTGGTTGACTGGGTGATATACACCGTGTTCTTTGCAGCGTCGGCTGCCTTGGCGCACCCGTGGCTCACCAACACCACCGCCACCGACGAGGCGTCATTGCCCGAGCCACAGCAGCAGCAGCAGCAGCAGCAGCAAGAGCACCCGGCGACACCATCCGGCGACACGCAGCCAGGACCGGAGGACCATCACCAGCACCACCGCCAACATGACAGCGGCGACACCGACGAGACGGCCGCGTGCACTCGTCAGACACCGAGTGAGTACATCTCCCCTGCTCAGCCGGCCCGTCCTGACGCCCCCCTCCCCTCCCCCTCCCGCCTTGAGCGTGTTGAGGACCGTCCGGCAGCCGGCTGCCGTGTGCGTCCCTCCGGGCAGGCATCTGGGTGCCCAGGGCCACACCCACAGACCAACCAGCGGCCAGAGGACCACACAAGACGGCGCTGGCAGACGTCACACAGCAGCGGCAGCCACGGGTACAGAGGCGGTGGCAGCCCGTTAGGCAGGGAGCATTGGCTGGCCCAGGTTGATGCGCTCGAGGAGGTCCTGTATGGTTGTGGGTCGGTCGATGATCAGTTGTCACCCGTGTGAGTGCATCACTCAATTAGGACCCTCCATCCGTGTGAATAGCGGGACTCGTGTGCGTGTGCAGACATCCCTGTGTGCATATCTCGTGAATGTCTCTGCCGGATGGCAGCTGCAGGCCTTGCTGATTGCTGAGGAAATGACGTGTAGGCCCGCAGATCGAGGCGCAACTCTGCCTATAGTCTCAGAACTCCCCACGTCTCTCTGCCTGATGCATTCACACACCCACACACACTCAAATGCAATGCAAGTCTATCACACAATGCATTGCCTATTCTATGCGATGAAAGCTGTCTTGCTTGGAAAACAATGGCCATTTGCACGGAGAGAGGGCTGTTTGATGGATCATATGGCTTGACGAGCGGATCGCTAGCTCGCAGCGGTTCTGCTCTCTCTTTATCCGTGTCAAGGCAGCCTGGAGTCTTAGGTTTTCGGACCAATGAGCGCGTGCAGTGAGGGTGAGCGAGGAGCAGCGGCAGCCACACGCAGAGGCGGGATGCCAATGAGTGAGGCCTTTGTTTCTTCTGCGGTCCCTCCCTCCCTCCATTATGTAAGTGTTGTGTTGTGTATGCTGGCTGCATGGCAGATGGGTGTGCGGCGGGTCGTCCTGTGTCGCCGAACGCCGAGTACCGACGACGCGGCAACACGGCCCTGGTGAGTGAGGGAGGGAGTGAGTCGGGTGCTCAGCCAGCCAGCCAGCCAGCCAGGCTCAGAGCGGGAGGGCTGCGAGTGCATATGGAGCACACGAGTGTGTGCTGTTGATGGATGGATGGATGTGATACATTCGTTCGTTCGCTGGCTGGTTCAGGGGTGGCTGTGTGACAAGAAGGGGCTCACAGTCGACTTTGCGATGCCGCCGAGGGTCGGGAGGTTCGGCACCGTCGTGTCTGTCTCCGATGCCGCCGGGCGCCGGTGGGCCGTCAAGCTGCTCACACACGAGATACTCGACGCCAACAGGCAACTGGTACGGTACGCACTGCACACCCGCCAGCCAGCACATGCAGAGAGAGAGGGAGAGGGAGAGGGAG